TTCTACTTCTGGGAATATATCTGAAGAAACCTGAAACACTAATTCAAAAGAATATGTGCATCCCTATGTTCATTGCAGAATTATTTACAATAGTAAAGATTTGGCAGAAGCCTAAGTGTCCGTCAGTAGATGAGTGGATAAAAACGCTGTTGGTACATTTACACAATGGAATATTATGTGGATATAAAAAAGAGAAAAATCTTACTTGTTGTAGCAGCATAAATTGACCTGGAGATTATTATGCAAAGTGAAATAAGCCAGTCAGGGAAAGCAAATACCATATGATCTCACTTATATGTGGAATCAAATGAACAAAATAACAAAATAGAATAGAAGCATAGATTCATAGAACAGACTGAGAGCTGTCAGATGTGAGGGGGTTTGGGAAGCTGGGTGAAAAAAGTTGAAGGGATTAATAAAAAAAAACATGGACAAAAGTATGGTGATAGCAAGAGTAAAAGGTGGGTGGGGAGAGGTGGAGGTGGGCAAAGGGGGGATAAATAGATGCAAAGAGATGTTGCTTTGGGCAGTGAGCACATGATGCAATGTGCAGATGATGTTTTATCAAGTTGTACACTTGAAAACTGTCTGTTTGTTTAAACCAATATCACCCCAAAATTCAACAAGAAAAGTTTGTAAATACTATACTTCAGGAAATTACTCAGAACTGAACATAAGAGAAAGTACATGTAACAGGTGTAACACAGGAGTGTCTAGATTTCATTTGTGTTTTGAAAGGATCCCTCTGACTTCTGTGTATAGAGGCATTGGAAGGTGACAACAGTAGGAAGGGTTAGTCAGTCAGGAGGATAATGCAGTGGTGCAGAGGTGAAGATGGCAGCCTGGCTCAGGAGGGGGTGATGGAGACTGAGCCATCTGGGCACATGAGGGACATACTGAGAAGATAAGAACAGTAGGGCTGTATAATGGCTAGGTTGTAGTGGGAAACAAGATAACTGCAGAGCAACATTCAGGTTTCAAACTTGTGCAAGGGAATGGATGTAGTGCCAGTCAGAGAGAGAAAGACACCATGGAAAAGGATGGGATTAGGGTGAAGAAGGTGAGTCATAAATTGGAAGGCTGAGTTTAAGGTGCCTTGATAATATCAAGAATGTCAAGTAACTGGAAATAGTTCTCTAGTTCTCAGAAGAGAGGTCAGAGCTAGAGAAAGATGTGGCCATCATTTGCATCTATATGGTGACTGAATCTTATTGCCTAGGACAGTGGTCGGCAAACTCATTAGTCAACAGAGCC